TCAATGGTACATTTGCGTGTACAATGAATAAGGAAGTATACGCAAAGAAATTCGTAATGGTGTGAATTTTTTGAATAATGGGACCTCAAAATACCAATGGCTAAAATTGAAGAGAGAATTTTTCAATTTAAACAAAGATATATATCTGTGCTTGATATACTATGCCCCCAAAAGCCAAACAGACCTATTGGAGAATGAAGAAAAGGATATAACTGATAGTTTTGGGTCTATGGGGGACATCCTGCTAGTAGGGGATCTTAATGCCAGAACTGGCTCAGAAAAAGACTATATTGATGGTGACAGCACCTCCCATGTTCCTATATTTGATGAAAATTATGATATAGACTGTTTTGCAGATGAAAGGGTCAGTAAAGATTTAATAACAGATTCCAAAGGGAAAAACTTGCTAGAATTTTGTATAGGTAATCAATTACGTATCTTGAATGGGCGTATGTGTGGTAATAGCAACGGTAAATTTACATGTTTTGAACATATAAAGTCAAGGATAAAAGAGATAAAGAGTAAACTTGAACTATTAGAAAATAAAAACTTTGGATTCAGTGAAATTGACTTTAAAATTACCCCTGGTGAACTTCAAAAAGCCCTGAGGCAATTAAAATCTGGGAAAAGTCCAGGTTTAGACACTATTACAAATTAAATGTTAAAAGTTTCACAGAGTTATATGCAAGATTGCTTACTTAAACTTTTTAATGCCATACTTCTATCTGGCATTTATCCCAGCAAATGGTCTGAGAGTTACATTACTCCTATATTCAAATCTGATAACCAACAGAACCCTGAAAATTACAGAGGTATTGCCATCAATAATGGTCTTGGCAAACTTTTCAATACCATTCTGTATAACAGACTTGATAAATTTCTATCTGATAATAATATCATAAATAAAACTCAAATTGGTTTTTCTAAGAAAGCACGCACTTCGGATCACACTTTTGTACTAAAGAGTCTCATAGAAAAATATGTTAAAAGAGGCAAAGGTAAATTATATGTATGCTTTGTAGATTTTCGCAAGGCCTTTGATATGGTTATTTATATTGGTATATAATACAAATTATTACAACATACAAATAATGGTATTTTTTATAACATATTGAAATCTATGTATAGTAATGACAAAGTGTGTGTCAAAGTAGAAGACAAAATAACTGATTTTTTTAGATATAATGTTGGTGTACGACAAGGTGACGTTTTGAGTCCCACATTTTTAAAACTATTTATTAATGATTTGCCAGATATATTGTCAAACAATTATGATACTGTCAATTTAGATAATGAAAAGATACCATGTCTACTATATGCTGATGATCTTGTATTAATATCTGACTCAAAAGAAGGGCTTCAGAAGAGACTTGATACTTTGTGCACATTCTGCAAAGATTGGTGTATGGAAATAAATGTGAAGAAAACAAAGATTATTATATTCAATAGGAGTGGTAGACTCCTTAATGACGATTTCAATGTAGGAAATAATTCTATCGAATGTGTTAAACAATACAAATATCTTGGCATAGTCATCCAAAATACTGGAAACTTTAATGAAGCCAGGGAAACAATTATTCCAAAAAGGTCAAAAGGGCAGTTTTAAACTTTATAAAGATTTGAAATCATCAAATCCTCCAATTAAAACTCTTTTGCATTTATTTGATCATTGTATACAGCCAATTGTTACGTATGGTTGTGAAAATTGGTGTGTTATTAACATTACTCCGAAAAGGAAAAAATTATCCCTTTATGACATATTTAAAGATTGGGAGTTTGAGAGGCTAAATTTAAAATTTTGCAAGTATATTATTGGTATTACAAAGATGTGCACAAATGTAGCAGTCCTGTCTGAACTGGGTAGATATCTTCTTTATATAAATTTGCTAACATATATGTTTATGTATTGGCATAGACTAGAGAATTCCCCAAATGATTTATTGAAAAGTGCTTATGCTGAGTTAAAAATGATTGAGAGTAAAGCTCCAACTAGCTCCAATAAGTCATGGCTCTCTTATATTATTTTCTACAGCGAAAAATTGGGTATTGACCTAAATATATGTAAAAATTTATGCAAAAATAAATTTAAAAATTTCCTAAAAAAACAGCTCAAATTAAATTTTCAAAATGATTGGGAGAAAATGCGAGATTTTTATTTACAGAATCAAGGCAAACTGGACACTTATTTTTCATTCAAGAGGTCATTTGACTATGAAAATTATTAAGATTTAAAGCACCCCCAAAAACATTTGTTAACAGAATACAAACTCAGCAATCACTGTTTAAAAATAGAAACTGGCAGACATGAACGATTTATCAATGTATGTGGTAAATATGAAATATTTCCTCGACATGAGAGGATATGTTTATATTGTAATTCAAATTCTATTGAAAATGAAATGCACTTTCTTCTGGAATGCCCTCTTTACAATAACCTCAGAAGAGATATGACTGATTATATCAAAAAATACCCCAGTTTAGTTAATTTAAACAGAAATGATCTTTTTACATGAATCATGAGTAATGAAGATAGCAGTTTTTTATCTATTTTATGTGCATACCTTGACAAAGGCCTGCAACTTAGAAAATCAGAAAATTAGTTAAAACTCTAATAGATAGCAAAATTATCTCCCCTTGACCACTGACCCTTTCCTCATGCATTTGAACTATTATTTTATGTTTCTTTAATCACTCTGTAATGTTTATGTCATGTTGTTATTAATGTTATGCTCTTAGTGGGCCCTTTAATTTAGAAAAATAAAAATATTGTATTGTATTGTATTCTATTGTAGTCTTTGTTAGATGGGCCTTTAAATAGATTTATCTTTGTTAGCTACCCATTGAAAGAGCACTGCTAGTTACGGAGCGATAAACAAAGGCGATTGAAAAACCTGTAAGACTTGTTTATAATATAAAAAATTCGTAAGGGTTCCGCGGAACCCAGTGTCTCGCCTACTTTTTCTGTTAATCGCAGGCTCAACAAAAATGAGGAAATAAATCAATAAAAATATTCCTCTTGATACTATCTTTTGATTGTAAGAAGCTTTTGTCCAAGTTTGGTAAAAATCCAGGATAGTTTATGAATCTAATAAATGTTTAAAAACTTTAACTGCAGACTGAATGTAATGTTAACTGGAAGAAAACAAAATTCCCTTCTAGATACTAGCATTTGATCATAAACAAGCTTCTGTCCAAGTTTGGTACAAATCCAAAATAGTATAAGAAAGTTATTAAAATTTTAAAAAGTTTAACCACAGAGTGAATGTGTTGTTTCTTGGCAGAAAATTTAAGTCCATTTAAAAGTAAAATACGGAAAAAAAGGATTTATTTTTTTTTTAAATTTCCTTCTAGATACTAGCTTTTGATCATATAGAAGCTTCTGTCCAAGTTTGGCACAAATCCAAAATAGTATAAGAAAGTTATTAAATTTTTAAAAACTTTAACCACAGAGCGAATGTGTTGTTTCCTGGCAAAAAATCTAAGTCCATTTAAAAGTAAAAAAAAGGAAAAAATGGATTTATTTTTTTACAAAATTTACTACTGGATACTATCTTATGATCATAAAGAAGCTTCTGTCCAAGTTTGGTACAAACCCAGGATAGTTAAAGAAAGTTATTAAAATTTTAAAAACTTTAACCACAGAGTGAAACTAAGTCCATTTATGAGTAAAATACGGAAAAATGGAATTTTATTTTTACAAAATTTACTTCTGGATGCTATCGTATGATCATAAACAAGCTTCTGTCCAAGTTTGGTAGAAATACAGGATAGTTTAAGAAAGTTATTCAAATTTCAAAAACTTTAACCACAGAGTGAATATTTTTGGACGCCGCCGCCGCCGACGACGACGACGACGGAATGTAGGATCGCTATGTCTCGCTTTTTCGACTAAAGTAGAAGGCTCGACAAAAAGAAGATGTGGTATTATTGCCAATGAGACAACTCTCCACAAGAGACAAAATGACACAGAAATTAACAGCTATAGGTCACCGTACGGTCTTCAACAATGAGCAAAGCCAATACCGCATAGTCAGCTATAAAAGGCCCCGAAATCACAAATGTAAAACAATTCAATCGAGAAAACTAACGGTCTGATTAATCTACAAAAAAATGAACGAAAAACAAATATGTAACACAACAACAAGTTTATTTTAAACTAATAAATGAGTGCATCTTACAAGGCTTAGAAAATTTGTATTATGAAGTCAAGCTTTTCTATTTGGTTTACTATGAATTGAATTTAATAACTTGGTAAAATAGTTATAATTGAAAAGTTGTCTTCTTATATTTCAGAATGAGGTCATCAAAGGGGGCATATATACGTGTAACATGTGATATTTTTCACCAGTGGCAGATCCAGGACATATAGACGTGTAACATATGATATATTTCACCAGTGGTAGATCCAGGACTTTATATACGTGTAACATGTGATATCTTTCACCAGTGGCAGATCCAGGACTTTATATACTTGTAACATATGATATCTTTCACAAGTGGTAGATCCAGGACTTTATATACGTGTAACATATGATATCTTTCACCAGTGGTAGATCCAGGACTTTATATACGTGTAACATATGATATCATTCACCAATGGTAGATCCAGGACTGTATATACGTGCAACATATGATATCTTTCACCAGTGGCAGATCCAGGACTTTATATACGTGTAACATATGATATCTTTCACCAGTGGCAGATCCAGGACTTTCATAACGGGAGGAGGATACAAAGGAGTAGATTAAAAAAAAACAGGCGGTCAAAAATTTTAAAAAAGAAATGAACTAAAAACACATATTTTTTTACATAAGATCAGTGCATCCCTGATACGCCCATGTTCACGAAAATCTACAATAATATTTTTTTCTCATAAAGGTCATTTAATGTAACACACAAATATAGATTTTACGATACTTAAATTACTGTTTGAATAATGAAAAGTAAGAGAAAAAAATACCGAACTATATATGTATTTAACAGAACTAACTAAAATTACCTTTAAAAATAGTCCTATTGGTTAAAAATAATTTCCATTTTCGTTTCCTTTATAAACATTACCGATTGTCGACAAGTCATTTCAACATACGGGTATCTAGTATGTAATACAATACCAATCAATGCAATGCAATATATGTTTATTGAACCAATAACAAAAGATCAACTTTAATACTGTTTTGTACGAAAACGTATTAGCGCCATGCAAACTTGTTTTATGTTTCTGCCTATGTCAGCGTTTACTTACAACGCGAACCTTTACGATATAACGCAAACATTTGAGTGATCTAATTTTTTTATTTAAATTTCAAGGGTAGCAGTTGTTAAAAATGGAGGAAGTAATGTGAGGAAGCTGCATGCATTAATTTTTATCACTCCTTGCACTTATTGCAAAATGAAATGCTAGAGTGTTAAGCACATAATCATGGCATAATAATGAGAGACCAAAGAAAATTGGGTGAATTGAAGTTGTATCGAAAAAAAAATTAAAAACCTAACTGTTAATGAGGATCTGGATGGGGATCCTTTATTTCTGTATTCTTTATTGTTTAGGTCATTTTCTTTATTCAGTTTGCTAATTATTCTCTATTCTGTATATTTTAGCAATCTATTATTCTCTATTCTGTATATTTTAGCAATCTATTATTCTCTATTCTGTATATTTTAGCAATCTGTTATTCTCTGTTTTGTGTATTTTAGCTATCTATTATTCTCTATTCTGTATATTTTAGCAACTCATTATTCTCTATTCTGTATATTTTAGCAATCTACTATTCTCTATTCTATATATTTGAGCAACTCTATTATTCTCTATTCTGTATATTTTAGCAATCTATTATTCTCTATTCTGTATATTTTAGCAATCTATTATTCTCTATTCTGTATTTTAGCAATCTATTATTCTCTATTCTGTATAGCTAAGCAACTCTATTATTCTCTATTCTGTATATTTTAGCAATAATTATGGGTAATTAAGAAGTATGGGTACGTTGATCTAAGAAGTATGGGTACGTTAATATAAGACGTATGAGTACGTTGATCTAAGAAGTACGAATCCGTTGATCTAAGAAGTATGAGTACGTTAATCTAAGAAGTATGAGTAGGTTGATCTGAGAAGTATGGGTCCATTAATCTAAGAAGTATGAGTACGTTGATCTAAGAAGTATGAGTACGTTAATCTGAGAAGTATGGGTCCGTTAATCTAAGAAGTATGAGTACGTTGATCTGAGAAGTATGGGTACGTTAATTTAAAAAGTATGAGTACGTTGATCTAAGAAGTATGAGTAGGTTAATCTGAGAGGTATGGGTCCGTTAATCTAAGAAGTATGAGTACGTTGATCTAAGAAGTATGAGTAGGTTGATCTCAGAAGTATGGGTCTGTTAATCTAAGAAGTATGAGTACGTTAATCTAAGAAGTATGGGTACGTTGATCTGAGAAGTATGGGTCCGTTAATCTAAGAAGTATGAGTACGTTGATCTGAGAAGTATGGGTCCGTAAATATAAGAAGTATGGGTCCGTTAATCTAAGAAGTATGAGCACGTTAATCTAAGAAGTATGAGTACGTTGATCTGAGAAGTATGAGTACGTTAATCTAAGAAGTATGAGTATGTTGATCTAAGAGGTATGAGTACGTTAATCTAAGAAGTATGAGTACGTTGATCTGAGAAGTATGAGTACGTTAATCTAAGAAGTATTGGTACATTAATCTAAGAAGTACGAGTACGTTGATCTGAGAAGTATGAGTACGTTGATCTGAGAAGTATGGGTATGTTAATCTAAGAAGTATGTGTACGTTGATCTAAGAAGTATGAGTACGTTAATCTAAGAAGTATGGGTCTGTATGATCTGAGAAGTATGGGTGCGTTAATCTAAGAAGTATAAGTACGTTGATCTGAGAAGTATGAGTACGTTAATCTGAGAAGTATGGGTACGTTAATCTAAGAAGTACGAGTACGTTGATCTGAAAAGTATGAGTACGTTGATCTAAGAAGTATGAGTACGTTGATCTAAGAAGTATGCGTACGTTGATCTAAGAAGTATGAGTACGTTGATCTGAGAAGTATGGGTCCGTTTATCTCAGAAGTATAAATACGTTGATCTAAGAAGTATGAGTACGTTAATCTGAGAAGTATGGGTCCGTTAATCTAAGAAGTATGAGTACGTTGATCTAAGAAGTATGAGTACGTTCATCTGAGAAGTATGGGTCCGTTAATCTTAGAAGTATGAATAGGTTGATCTAAGAAGCATGGGTCCGTTAATCTAAAAAGTATGAGTACGTTGATCTAAGAAGTATGAGTACGTTAATCTGAGAAGTATGGGTCTGTAAATCTAAGAAGTATGAGTACGTTGATCTAAGAAGTATGAGTACGTTGATCTGAGAAGTATGGGTCCGTTAATTCAAGAAGTATGCGTACGTTGATCTAAGAAGTATGAGTGCGTTGATCTAATAAGTAGGAGTACGTTGATCTGAGAAGTATTGGTCCGTTAATCTAAGAAGTATGAGTAGGTTGATCTAAAACGTAAGGGTCCGTTAATCTAAGAAGTATGAGTACGTTGATCTAAGAAGTATGAGTACGTTGATCTGAGAAGTATGGGTACGTTAATCTGAGAAGTATGGGTCCGTTAATCTAAGAAGTATGAGTACATTGATCTAAGAAGTGTGAGTACGTTAATCTGAGAAGTATGAGTACGTTGATCTAAGAAGTATGAGTACGTTGATCTGAGAAGTATGGGTACGTTAATCTAAGAAGTATGAGTACGTTGATCTCAGAAGTATGAGAACGTTAATCTGAGAATTATGGTTCCGTTAATCTAAGAAGTATGAGTACGTTGATATAAGAAGTTTGAGTACGTTGATCTGAGAGGTATGGGTCTGTTAATCTAAGAAGTATGAGTGCGTTAATATTAGAAGTATTGGTACGTTGATCTGAGAAGTATGGGTCCGTTAATCTAAGAAGTATGAGTACTTTAATCTAAGAAGTATAAGGACGTTAATCTAAGAAGTATGAGTACGTTGATCTGAGAAGTATGAGTACGTTAATCTAAGAAGTATGAGTACGTTGATCAGAAAAGTATGGGTCCGTAAATCTAAGAAGTATGGGTCCGTTAATCTAAGAAGTATGAGTACGTTAATCTAAGAAGTATGAGTACGTTGATCTGAGAAATATGAGTACGTTAATCTAAGAAGTATGAGTACGTTGATCTGAGAAGTATGAGTACGTTAATCTAAGAAGTATGGGTACGTTAATCAAAGAAGTACGAGTATGTTGATCTGAGAAGTATGAGTACGTTCATCTGAGAAGTATGGGTATCTTAATCTAAGAAGTATGAGTACGTTGATCTAAGAAGTATGAGTTCGTTGATTTAAGAATTATGAGTACTTTGATCTAAGAAGTATGAGTACGTAAAATCTAAGAATTATGGGTCTGTTGATCTGAGAAGTATGGGTCCGTTAATTTAAGAAGTATGAGTACGTTGATCTGAGAAGTATGAGTACGTTAATCTAAGAAGTATGGGTACGTTAATCTAAGAAGTACGAGTACGTTGATCTGAAAAGTATGAGTACGTTGATCTAAGAAGTATGGGTACGTCGATTAGAAGTATGGGTACGTTAATCTAAGAAGTATGCGTACGTTGATCTAAGAAGTATGAGTACGTTGATCTTAGAAGTATGAGTACGTTGATCTGAGAAGTATGGGTCCGTTAATCTAAGAAGTATGAGTACTTTGATCTAAGAAGTATTGGTACGTTGATCTGAGAAGTATGAGTACGTTAATTTAAGACGTATGAGTACGTTGATCTGAGAAGTATGGGTCCGCTTATCTAAGAAGTATGAGTATGTTGATCTAAGAAGTATGGGTAGGTTAATCTAAGAAGTATCAGTACGTTAATCTAAGAAGTATGGGTCTGTTGATCTGAGAAGTATGGGCCTGTTGATAAATATAAGTTTTATAATATTGACTTTTAGAAATGTTGATTACATGTGCCAATTTAAGAATCAAATCGATGGTCTCGTGTAAGTGTGCTCTCTTCGAGAGCGGGGATCATTTGTTTGATCGCTGTCTGGGTAAAATATAAACTTGAACATTTGTATTTGCTGCTTCTCCGCTAAGAAGGAGGATTTAGTAAAGAAGGTTAGTCGGGTCGGAGTCAAACAAATGTGTCAGTATAGGGGAATGTGTTTTCTTGCGGTTTGTTGCCTTTGAAATATATGAAAATAAGAAGATGTGGTATGATTGCCTATTAGACAACTCTCCACCAAGAACCAAATGATATAACATGCTATTAATAAGGCTCAGCATGTCGATCATATACACAGCAGGGTTTAGATGCATATATCAATGACATTTATGTTTAACTGGTAATATTGTTGTAACATTGAAATTATTTGAACAATTACCAAATATGTTCTTACAGACTATCTGAGTTGTATATAAACAAAAACTTCGTCGCAGGTACCGGTATGACAAGCAGTATTTATCATTTAAATGTTTTCAACGCCCCAACAGTGATTCTGAACTGAATATAAAACTTGTCGAAACAAAAGAAGATGATTTAAAGATTATTCTTTTTAACACGGGCTACTTTAGTCTTAATTGCGGGAATTTGATATAAAACTCTGACAGGCACGATTTAATTATAAAGATACAAGGTTGAATATCATAGTTGCTTGATTCATAATTTATTTAAGATATATTATCAGTAAGCCGTAGGGTACACACTTTACTTTATCTTAATCTTTTGTTATCTATCAATATACTAAGCTAATAAGTGATTGTTTTGGTATGTGAGAAAAATAACATATAACATGAGGCAAGAAAGAGGAAAATACCGCTGCGATTTTCAAATTTCTTAACAAGGACGATGTATCTATATAGGGAGTTAATTTTGTCGTTTTCATTTTCTTCAAATTAAAATTAAAAGACAAACAATATTTAAAAAGAAAAAAAAACAAAATTGAACACTACAAATAAAGTAATACGCACTCAACCGAAATCCTTTATACCTCCAGAAAAATGAAGGACAACATGGTGGCTTTGACAAACGGAACAAACGTGTGTCCATCTACGACACAGATGGTCTATAACGGTCCAATCATTTCAAAAAATCGAT